GGGGGGTTGAAGGGAGAGAAGCAGTAAACACTGTGGGGAACGATGGTTCTAAAAACAGCCATGCTACTAGGTATCCCGAAACTACCCTAAATTTCCACCAATGAGAAAGAACAGGATAAAGAGGGAGAAGAACTCGGAGGGATTTGAAAATCGCGGATCAAGGGGTTGTTGATACCGAGAGAAAGAGGGAGAGATGTTTGCATGATTGGCCTGAGGAGTCGGCGCGGTTGCCAAATCTCCGGCGACAGTGACGCAAAGATGGTGGGGACGGGTAGCAATGACGCGTGGTCTGATTGGTGGAGCTCGCGGTGCCGCCTTTCGAGTCTCACGGAGCGTCGCGCGGTCGCACGGATCCGCAGTTCGCATTCGGAGGCCTTGCGAGCTACATCTTTTCGAGAAGAAAAAGAAAGATTGGACGGGTTCATCAAATTTCCCCCTCCACGGGAATCGCGATAAAGAGTCTTCGATTCGAAAAAGTGCCAAGTTTCTCTCGCAAATACTCTTTCTCCGTCGCTGGTACACTACGACACATACACACACGCACGCACACGTACACGTACACGTACAGGGTCACACAACCCATATATACGTAATCGTCTTTCGTTTTCACGGTGATCTCTACACGTGACACAAACTGAGCATCGAAGAGGCTCCAAGGCGAAAGAGCGGCGTGTTGTTGCTTGCTGTTCGAAGCGAGAGGAGATATTCGTCGATCGTTCGAATTTCTTTGTCAGCCTGTTTGTACGCTGAGAGAATCGAAACGGGTGTGCTTCCAATGTAAATCCACAAGAACGTATCGTCGGAGTGGCAGTTTTTGTGTTCTCAAAGTTGATACGTACAACCGCGGTTTCTTCTTAACTATTAACCGGCTACCGTGCTACGACACGCACGCTGTTCTGCTCTGAAAGAAGAAGAAGGCTAGTCACGGCCGGATCGCGACTACGTTATAACCTAACTCCAGTGTGTTTTTGTGCGAAAACGAGGGAAAATGTCGACTGCCGTCATGAGCACCCCTATGTTCGTCGAGTGTAGCGAGCACTTATTTAAGGTAAGATACTTTACCATTTGTCACACGATCGTTTCGTCCTTTAGCGCCTTCTTTTTTCAAACGTTCCATGTTGTCAAGTCGTAGGTAGGGCAAACATAGGCGACTGAGTAGTATAGGAGTGTCGAATACCGTTGAACGAACACTTCAAACGATACGATTATCGATATATTTGAAACGTTGCGAATGGAAAGAAGTCTTTCTATATTTAGACTCGTGAACTTTGTTATGAATCAGGTGAGGCTCGACGTGTTTGTTCGATCAGTGGTTATTTCGTGTCGTTATCTTGGACGATCACTTTCTATTAAGATTGCACTATCACGAACGTGTGTTCCCTATCGTTTCGAAGAATCGAGAATCCGACTGATAAGCAACAAAAGCAGCAGGTTCTAGATGCAAAGATGGCTGGTTCAGCACGTGGCATCGCGAATACTTGGAAATTCTGACTATAGTATGGTGGTGAATAAGTTCGTGTTGGATTCTCTCGTGGCCGTTGTAGTACTCGCTGGTACTCGGTGGTACCGTGGCGCAAACATTTGTGCAACGGTGTTGGTACGTATTCTGTTCCGACTGCCACGGTCTATTGCACTGCGGGACAAATATGGAATGGAACGGATAGAAATGGTGTACGAAGAATCTGCGCGGTTAGGAGATACGTAGCAGAAACAGGGCCGCGCGTTAGGAAATCTCGCGTCTTCCCAAATAAATTATGTATATCAAAATGAAATGTAGTTAGGTAGACGGCTATAGCTACGTACTATGTATTACCATTGCTATGGTAATGGTATTTATTTTACCGCGCAAAAGAACGAGAGGTCGTGATGTAAGAGTTATTTTCGGTCGTACGGTCGCTGCTTTCTTCGACGTTTATTTGTTTTCACTACAATTTTTACTTTAAATCGCGTTAGTTCCTGCATCTGTTTAGCTTAACTCGATTTTCGGATTTATTTTTCGCTTCGTCGTAAACATAGTAAACTCCCAAGACATTTGGACTCGTCTTTCGACAAGAGTGAATTCTTCCATCTCGCGATCCATCTATTTTAAAATACTATATATGTTGAAATATATTTTCGCAAGTATGCTCTCCGATTTTAGCGCACGACCAGGCGTCAAATTCGTACGAAAACAAGCTGGAACTTTTATTATTTTCTATAGAAATTAGAGGTCGTTCTCAATGTTGCGTCGTTGTAAATATCCTTCGTTTGATAAACTCGATTGCCGATGATGAGTCTTTGTGTTTAGGTTTTGCAGCTCGAAGCGTGTTTGTATAAGCTCTATCTCGTTACACACGACTCTGCTTACTTGTGTGCCTGATTTTGCATATGGTTTTCGATTGTCAAACTTTTCACGGATGACACAGCTGTCCGCAGTCAATGATTCGTCCGAATTTGCGACGACCCGACGATCGTTTCAAGTATAGAAGCTCGTGCCAACGTTTTTTCGTCTCGCGTCATTCGTTCCCGCTTCTGAAATCTCCGATTACACCGATTCTCAGACCCCTGGGAATTTGGCTTCATTTTTATCGTCGTCAAAATTTACGCGTTTCCAATTCGTCCATTCGTGTCACAGAACTAACAGAACAGGAAAGTAACTTCATTTTAGTTTTTTACTTGGAAAAAGATATTTATTTGGGTTTGATCTATGCAAAAAATATGTATTTATATATATATAAAAAGAATAATGCATTTATTGCGTTTATGAAAGAAGAAAAAGAAACATATAGGCTCCTACGAAGATAATACTTTTTGAATTCATCTTCTTTTGACATTGTATTTTGCTTACGCCGATGATGAAATTATAATTTGAAACAATTACGTTGACCGCTCTGTATAGTATATCCAATACATAGCAAGTAAAATCGAATAAATATCTAAATTTAAATCGAGTTGCCAACTTAGATCTGGGAATTTTGATAAATTTCCTGCAATAATGTTCGCGGTAGCTTGCTTCGTGCGTTCATATCTGTCTGGGTTTCGTAAATCATGTTTCGTATAAATTCGTTAATGTACGTACGAATTCCGTCATGCGACAGGAACTTGTTTTATAAACACGTGGCAGAACTGTTCTTCCCTCGTTTCGTCAGTTTGTTAGTTTTTCTTTGTAGCAATATTGGAACAACGCGGTATCATATCTGGCGATATTCTCTAATTTGAATACAAATGCCTTTGTTCGCTGTTACGAGAAAACAGACAAATAATTTCATTTATGTTTACCAACTTCCTTTTGTCCGCATTACCGCCAATCCGAAATCTGGTTCGACGATAAGAATATGTCTATTTAACCAAAGTATGTTACGGCTTCCCTTCTCGAATAGCAATCTTTTTTTTTCATAGACATTTGTATCTACGCGTAATGCGATTTTCCAAGATTTTATTTTCCACCGTACCGCTTCCACATTTTACGAGATATATAATTAAATAAATACGTGATTCTCGTAATTTTATTTCGACGTAATTCGTAAAAGTGGTGAAACCGCTTATCGTTTCATCTCTCTTTATCGCTATTCTTCCAACCAATACCTTGAAATTTTCAATAATCGTAGTGGCAGCGTAATCTGTTCCCTTTGATCAGAGTTCAAATACACGCTAGGTATATGTTACCTACTACCAAGCATCGGGGATTCGTTTAAGTATTTGAGCGATAGAACGAACTTAAACCCTGGGCAATTGTTCAAACGAAAAGCAAAGGAACACGTGGGCGATCGTATTCGCGAGTAAAAATACCACGCGTTCGTTCTATAAATTGTTTCTTTGGTGAATTACACCTCCATTCATTTATTCATAGCCAAGTCTCCACTTAACTAGCTTACTTCGGTCACGATTGGCACGGATAAGCGAGTTTAGAGACCGCGGGGGTCTCGTTACATTGAATTATCAATTCGGGTATACAGGGAGTGTTCCAGTTTTTTCGACTAAATGCTACGACGGTCTTTCCATTTTTTTTTTTTTTTTTTTTTAATATAAATCGATTTAATATAAATTTGTAGATCGTAGGTAATGGACATTTTTGTACACGATCCGTTACAGTGTCGAAGAATTTAGAAACGAAAACGCTACATTGCAATCTTTTCGTGGTGTTGTATAAAATCTTTCCACCTGTTTCTGTCTGACGGAAAAGAGCTTCGTCGAACAAATCGTAATTGTTATTGTTTTCGTTTCGCGACCGACGAAATGGTCGGACAAACGACGCGGCAGCGTTCGAGTTTTATCGCGAACTTCTTTCTTTTCCCTCTTTCCTTTTCATCTACGCGCAACTCGTAACTTTCCTCGGCAATTTCTCCTCGGCGATTTCGAAACTCGTTCGATCCGGGATCGTTCGATCGTGCTCGATGCCTATCTGAAGCTCCGTCTTTCCTTTTTTTTTTTTTTTTTTTTTTAATATAAATCGATTTAATATAAATTTGTAGATCGTAGGTAATGGACATTTTTGTACACGATCCGTTACAGTGTCGAAGAATTTAGAAACGAAAACGCTACATTGCAATCTTTTCGTGGTGTTGTATAAAATCTTTCCACCTGTTTCTGTCTGACGGAAAAGAGCTTCGTCGAACAAATCGTAATTGTTATTGTTTTCGTTTCGCGACCGACGAAATGGTCGGACAAACGACGCGGCAGCGTTCGAGTTTTATCGCGAACTTCTTTCTTTTCCCTCTTTCCTTTTCATCTACGCGCAACTCGTAACTTTCCTCGGCAATTTCTCCTCGGCGATTTCGAAACTCGTTCGATCCGGGATCGTTCGATCGTGCTCGATGCCTATCTGAAGCTCCTCTCGAAATTTGGACTTTGTTACTTACAGTTTAGATAATCGTTCCGTTCCGCCCGGACATTTTCTCTTCTCGTTATTTTCTATTCGAGGAAATAACGTCTGATTACTTTAATGGTACCAGATTTGGATCCTTTTAGGTATCGTTGAAGGCAAATTCGGTAAAAATGTACAAGTTGCGCGTATTGTTACGCTACGTGACGCACGCTTCGCCGAAATCAGAAAGTAGATAAAACTTTCTAATACAAAATCAGGAAGCTTCAACCGTGAGAGGATAAATCGTGTTCCTTGTAATTCACGCGTATAAACACGAGTACGATATGATATTCGTCCATAAATCTCAGGCAACCCCATATACATACAACCGAGTAAATCTAATAAACATGCGTGTAACGTTAGAAATTTCAAAGAAATTGTTCGCCGTGGAATACCAAGAACTACAATGCTCTCATCTTATTCCGAACGTGTACACGGTAGCGTACTTCGTTTCTTCTTTCCTCCCGGCCGTTAGGACGAAATTTATTCAAATATCGTCGAGTTAAGTTCCGAGCGTCGAGGCGCTAGATGGAAGGAAGTATGTATAGCGTACGGCATGACGCATCGGAATGATCGAGCAAAGATTCGATTCACAAAGAGCGAGTCTTTTGTGCATTAAAACAAGAATATAACCAGGTGTCACGATATAAATACGCGTATTAAAACCTACTGTTATCGAGATACAACTTTACGATCTCGTTACGCCTTTTATACCTTCTTATCCGAGCAACTTTTAACTAGTCCCGTTGGACGAATCTTGCGTGTAAGATAGAGACGCGTTAGAAAAAATACGTTGTAAAGATGGGAACCATCTCGTAACGAGAGATGTTAAATCGTTTATCGCGAAAGGATGAAAGAGAGAGAAGGGAAGGTTGGCTGATAGAAGTCGGTGATCGGGCCACGTCCATGATAGCGCCGAGTCTTACCCTTTCCGTGGAATTATCGGGGTCCGGATTTTTCTGAAAGTGGAAACCTCGCCCTGAGCGTGCAACGTGCCCGACGCTGCACCGCGCCGGCACATCAACAAAAAGCGGCTCGGCAAATGCAAGCCGTAAGCAGCGTAGGAACCTGTTGCTTCGGATTTATGACGGAAGGAGAGCCGACCGAGGAAAAGACCGAGTTCGAGTGAGAGAATCAGAGACAAGACCTGGGTGGGGGAGAACGAAGGGAACTCTGGCTAGACGAAGCCAGAAACCGTACGAACG